ACTTATTATTAATATTATAAAATGCTAAATTTATTAATAAATATTAAGCTTAATATTTTATAAATTAATAATTTAACCTTAAAATTAAATTTAATTATCTTTATAATTATTAAAAAGCCCTTTATAAAAATAATAAATATAAAAATCTAAATTAATTTAATTTAAAAATTAAAAATAAGTAATAATTATTAAATATATTAATATAAATAAGTTATAAATTCTTTTATTTATAATTATTTAAAGCGCTTATTATTTTATTAATTAAATAATAAAGTTAAGTTTTTTAAATAATTAAGTTATTAAGCTTATTTTTAATAAATAAATAAATAATAAAATTAATTTAAAATAATTTTAATATTTTAATAAATATATTAAGTTAAAGAAAAATACTAATTATTAAATATTAATTATAAATAACTATAAAAGCTATATATTAATTAAATTTAATTAATATTATAAAAATAATAAAATTATTATTATTAATATATTATTATATTTATTTTATTTACTTTAATTATTAAATATTATATTATATTTATTTTTAAAGTATATATATAATAATAAAATTAACCTTTTTATTTAAGTTTTTATTAATTATATTATTAAATTTAAGTTTTATTTTATATTTAAAGTAATTTATAATAAAACTTTTATAATAAAAATTATTAAATTTATATTTAAAAAAGTTAAAATTTTTCTTTTAAACCTTAATTTTATAATTTTTAAGCTTAATATATATTTATAAACTTTAATATAATTCCTTTTTATTTTTTTTTAAAAATAAAAATCTTAAATATTATTAAATACTTAATAAATTATTTAATAATTAAGTTTTATTAAAAGTAAGATTTTTATTTATTAAAAATGCTTTTTTATATTAATTATAAAGATTATTAATTAATTAATAAAAAATATATAAATAATAATATATTTATTTATTATAATAAATAAATAAATTTATATATTTTAAGATATTAATATAATATTTATTAAATATTAAAGGGTTAAAAGAATTTAAATATAGCTTAAAAAGCATTTATTATTAAGAAAATTTAAGCTTTTATTTAAAAGAAATAAAAAAAAGTAGTTAATTAATAAAATAAGTAATAATATTAAAAAGGTAATTTATAATAAATTAATTAAATAATAATATAATAATTATAATAAAATTAAATATAATATAAAAACTTATAAAAAAGATAAAAAAGAATTTAATTAATTAAATTTTAATTATATTATATTAAATTTAGCTTAATTAATATAAAATATAATTATTTTATTAATTTATAATAAATTATATTTTTAATAATATAATTAATATTAATTAATATTAAATATATATTTTTTATTAAAAGTTAATTTATTTAAATTAATATTATATTTATATTAATGCTTTTAAATTTATTAAATTAATTAAAAATAAAGAATTAAATATAATTAATATTAATTAATGCTAATTTATTATTATTTATTTATTACTTTAATATAATATTATAATTAATAAAAAGTTAAATAAAGTTAAAAAGATTTATTACTTAATAATATTTATTATTTAATAATAAATTATATTAATTATATATAAAAAAAACTTATATTTAATATAAAATATAAAAATTTTATTTTTATTTAAATAATAATTATATTTTAATAAAATAATTAAATAATTAATTAATTTTTTAATTAATTTAATAATTTAAAAAATAAGCTTAAAATTTTAAATAAGTTTTTTATTTTTATTAACTTTTAATTTATTATTTATTAAATATATTTTATATAAATTTATATTAATTAATTTAAATTTATATTAAATATTTTAATAATATTTATTAAAATATTATTTATTTTATTATTTTTATTAAAATATTAATAAAGCTTATAATATAATTAAAAATCTTTTTAAAATTATAATAAATAGCTTTAATTTTCTTAAAAAGTATTTATTAATTTTAAAAATTTTTAAAATATTTATTTATTTTATTTATTTATTTTAAAATTAATAATTAATATTATATAGCTTTTATTTTATTCTTTAAATTTATATTTTAAAATAAAAAGCTTAATTTATAAGGATTATTTAAGGCTTATTTAAATTATTATTATAATATAATTTATTATTTAAATAAATACTTTTAATATATTTATTAAATTTAATTTTAATTAATATTTATTTAAAGTATAAAAATTAAAAAACATTTATATTTATTAATTTTTATTACTTTAAAGTATTTATTTATATTTAATTATTTTAATTTAAAATAATTAATATAAATATAATATTAATTTAAAATAAATAACTTTTAATAAAAAATATATATTTAATATTAATTAATATTAATAAGATTAAAAAAACTATAATTTATTTAAACTTTAATTAATTATATTTCTTTATATTTTCTTTATATAATTATATATTTTACTTAATTTTATTATAATTATTATATTATTATTTAATTAATTTATTATAAAGTAATTTTTTTATTTATTTTTTACTTTATTAATTAATTATTTTGTTTTTATTTTCCTTTAATTATTATTTAAAGTTTTATAATATTAAATTCTTTTTTAAATTATAATTAACTTTTTTTAATCCTTTAATATTTAATAAATATTATATTAATATATTTAAATATATTAATTTAAGTTTTAAAATTATAATTTTATATATTATTATTTATAAATATTTTAATAATTAATTAATAATTTAAATAATTAAATTAATTTTTTTTTATATTTAAAATCTTTATTTTTAATAAAGTTAAATTATTATATAATTTATTAAATTTTAAATAATTTTAATTCTTCATTTTAAGGGAAAATAAAAATAAAAAGTAATAAAGTTTATAAATAAATATTAAGTTTAAAAATAATAAAGTTTAAATTTAAAGAAAAGTTTTAATTTCTTTAAATATAAGTTTAATATTCTTTATTATATAAATTTTATTATAAGCTTTTTTAAATATAAAAAAGATTTTAAATTTAATAATATAATTAATTAAAGCTTAAATAAAATATTTAATTTTATTATTATATATATATATATTAAAAATTAATATAATATAATATTTAATAATTAAATAAAATATAATAAATTTAATAATATATTAATAATAATAATAATATTTATTTTATAATAATTTTTATAATTTATTGATTTATAATTTTTAAATTTATTAAAAATAAGTTTTTAATATTAATTTATTATTTATTTTTTTTTATATTTATTAAAATATTAAATTTATTTTAAATTAATTTTATTAATTAATTATTTATTTAAAATAAGCTTAATTATTTAATTTTTTAAATAAAGTAACTTTATAATTTAAATTATAAAATAATAAGCTTTTTAAATAATTATAAATATTAAAATTTATTAATTCTTAATATTATTATATTTAATAATTATTATTTACTTTTTATTTTTAATATATATTAATTTAATTATTTTATATTTATTAATATATAAAATTATTATTAAATATAATTAAAAAACTTCTTATAAAATTAAATTTATTAAAATTATTTAAATTATTTTTTAAAACTTTAAATTTAATTATTATATTATAATATAGTTTAAATTAATCTTTATTACTTTTTAAAGTTTTATAAAAAGCTTTTTAATAATTATAAAATTAATTAAATAATCTTTTTAAGCTTAATTATATATTTATAAATTAATAAATTTAATATTTATTAATAAGCTTATTATTATATAATAATAATATAATATTAATTATATTTTTATATTAAACTTTATATTAAAAACTTTATATTTTTTAATTAATAATTTATTAAATAAGAATTTATTTTTTAATTAATTTAAATTTATAATTATTAATATATATCTTTTTATTATAAAATTAATTAATTTCTTTATTTAATAATATATTTTAAAAAATTAAAAAGATTTATATAGCTTTTTATATATTTATAATCTTTTTTTAATTTATTTTAAATTATTTAATTATTTAAAAAGTTAAAATAATTTTATTTTCTTTAAAATAAATAAATATAATAAGTTTTAATTTTTATTAAATTAAATCTTTTTAAAAAATATTAATAAATAAATAATATAAAGAAATAAGGATATAATTATTATTAAAAGTTAATTTTCTTATTATAACTTAATTATTTTAAGTTATAATATAATATTATTAAATATTTTATATTAAATAAATATTAAAGTTAATAAATTAATTAAAAGTATTTATTTAAGTAATTTCTTTAATTAAATAATAAATTATATTAATAAGAATTATAATTATATTTAACTTATTTTATTAAAATAAAAATTAAAGTTAAATATATAAATATATATAAGTAAAATTATTTATTATTAATTAAAATTAATATTCTTTAATTATTAAAAATAAATATAAAAATTAAAAAAGAAATTAAAGAAAAGAAATAAAATAATAAAGTAAAAAAATATAAAAAATATAAATATTAATAAAAAAAGATATTTATATTTATATTAATATTTTCTTATATATATTATTATTTATAATATTATATATTTTAATATATATTTTATATAAATTAAAATCTTAATTATAATATTTTATTAAATTATTTCTTTATTTCTTTATTTATTAAGTAAATAATTTAAAATTAAAAAAAATATTATATATAAAAAGTAATTTTAAATATTAATATTAATAATAAATGCTTTAAATTATTATTTATTATATAAAGATATAATTAAAAAGCCCTTTTTTATAAATATAAAATTTAAAAGAATGGCTCTTATGAGCTTTAAAAAAGCTATCCACACAATATCTAGAGTCATCCTAGAGCATAATATTATAGTCATAGTACGAGCATTCAGTATAGCCAGTCAAGTCGGGAGGTTCATCCTGTCCATCACAAACGGCTGGAATGTGCAACGCCTTTTGCTTTCCATGCCATCCGCTCAATGCAGCACTAGTTAGATGATTACAGACTCGGAATATCAAGCTGCGAAGGCGAATTCATTATCGGGAAATTTCCAAGTCTATGTGCGTTTAACGGACCTGGAAGATATTCTGAGTGATGAGAATATATTTTCTTTTCGAGGAGCTATGTGTAAAGTCGAAGCATTTGCATGGAATGTGACAAGATTATCTTGGTGCTGCTTCTCCGGCAACACGGGGGGCTTGTGCCATCTGGAATGAAGGTTTATCGCCGAGTATATGGTACCAGGGCTGAACAATGGTTCATATCCCGTCCATAACCCTTGGAATAATTGAGTCCGTTGTGTTCCACAGCATTCCGGAATCGTTGTTCATCCAAAAAGCTCCAGTGTACCAAGTCGACCGACGACCCTGCAAGGCGTTTGCACGAGACACAATTCCGCCGCGCAGTTGATCACCAGTCCACTGCCGATACAGTGCTCCATGATCCCCAAATGCCTTGAAGTCTACCTGTTCAACATCTCCGGCGGGGATGGTTCCGGCATCGATCAAGTTCTGCAGCGAGCCGCGAACAAGGCTTTTTGCTTGCTCGAATTCCATGTCTCTTGGCACGATAAGTACAGTCCTGTAAATAGGCCCGCTTGAGGAGTTTCCCAGATAATTGAAGCTGGATAACGCTGGAACGGAAGGAAAATCGAGGTAGTCTGCGGCCACAGCCCCCGGGACTGTGTTCTGAACCACCTTTGCCGGCAGCGATGGGTGTGATACCACACCCGTGTAGCATCGATTGCCAAAGGTTGAAGAGAAAATATCAACCTCCTCATCGTCCAAGTCGAAGACTTTCTGGTTCAACGTTTCCGGTCCAACGGTAATCAGGAGTCGCTTGGCGTTGATTTCGGTTGTGTGCCCGTCCTTGCCCTTCACATGAAGCTGCACTCCATCATTTGATCTTTTAGCCGAAACCACCTGGCTCTCGTACAGCACATCAGTGCCTAGGAGTTGAGCAGCCTTTTGGTAGACTTCAGAGTTGTCTCCTGATACCGGTTGCAGGTCTGGTACGGTAGCACGAGTTGGACCGGCGTACGCTTTCCACACATCGACCATGAGTGCAGCCTCTAGGTCGACGACAACAATGTTGAAGATGGACGGGCTTATGGCTTCTACATCGTACTTGCGCGCAAACTCATTCCAAGTCAATAGGAGGTCTTCTGGAATGTCGGCGCCGGTGGGAAAATTCGAGCTGGTCGGCAGCAGTAGATCTTGGTACTTGAGCCACTGCTCACGCCATCTTGTCAATGCATCCGCGAACTCTGCATCCCTGGGAGGCGTGTATTCAATAGCCTTGCCAGTTGCGAAGTCTGCATACAGCGTGTGCGACTGAGCAAACTGGGGGGGCCCGACCGGGATATCGAATCGTTCAAAGAAGTCTCTGGAGGCGGTGAGGTTCGTGAAGACCTGGACACCATAGTCATATGGCTTCTTTGTCACCGGATCATGCCATGTGTTCGTGTGGCCGCCCTGCAGGGAATTAGTCACCTAGTTACAGATGCGACTTTTTGGGAACAGGTTGTTTTACCAAGCGGTCTTGTTTCTCGACGACCACGATGTTCTTGCCAAAGTCCTCTCTTAGTCGAACAGCCGCGTAAGCCCCAGAGGCCCCGCCACCGATGATGGCGACGTCTATGTCGACGCGAGCGTTTCCACCACTTATGGTAGCTGCAGCTGCCGCGACACCAAAGAGGAGGATTTTGACAGAAGTCATGGTATTGGCGAGACCAGGGGACACCAATTTGAAATAAGCTACTACACTGGCACCATTTTCCGACCCGTCAAAAGTGTCTAGGTCACATTTACTTCCAAAGATGGAATCGAATATAGGAAGCAAACAACATTTGATTTATTCGTGCAAAGCACATGGTGGCCATCGGAGCCATTCCGGTGCTTCCGTAGCCAAGCATAGTACACAATACTCGTATGAGCAGATTTGAATTTTAAGGTTCAATCAAAAGGAGAAACACGAACTATTCGGCACTGCCAAGCGGGAAGAGACGGACAAAATAAGTAGCGGCGACTGGTGTCGAATTATGTCTTTGGAAGTGGGTGTGTCCAGGGTGGCTTTGCCTAGACCTATAATGTCCCTTGATGCCCCACAAATCATCTCAAAATCGGAATGCTCTCCGAAAGTTTCCTGTACATTAGTACAAATTACTGAAAATGCATACGAAAAGAAGTGTCTTCCAAATGCAGATGCCAACACTGGAAACATAATCAAGAGGACGATCTCTTTATCTAAGACATGAGATCGGCTGATCCATCAGCTACAAGTGCATCAATATCTGCTTTCACTATCTTGATATACATTTTGAATCATCATTCCACTGAGATATACCATCGAAGCATAATATTCACGAAATCGAATATTCGCACCTGCAAAAACGGAAGGTGCACCGGTACATTTGCTAGTAACAATCTGCACACCCACCGCACACCCATTCAACACCCATAGCCAAATCGTGTACCCATGTGAGTATGGGGTCTGGATATGTTAGGCTAGGTGTATTAGGTCTGGGTATGTGTAAGTGTGTGTGGTAGGTATGTGGATTGGCTGTGAGTAAGCGTGGTAGGTACTGGTGTACCATCCATTTTTGCAGGTGTGAATATCTGATTTCATGTTCGTCTCTCAAAAACAGAGAATCATTTGCGGAGGTAGACTGTAAGCATAATAGACCAGGTGACCCTGGATGAAAATCACCTGACGACGCCCACAGAACGCCCTGCACAACCACCCGGTCACCCCACCAAGCGCTCTCTGCCATTCAGGGGCTGCGGAACTATCTCGCGCGCGCCGATCCGGACAGCGCTAGGTGTGCTAAGCTTTGCGGAGGGAGGCTGTTGGCGCAACGCCACGGATGCACGGTGACGGAGCTCGGGGCCAATGGCTTGGTCGGGTCTTATCTGGGCTTGGGGGGCACGGTGGTCTGACTGACGGGCATAAATACTCTTTGAGATGTCGTCGAGGCGCCGGACATCTTAGAAGATGGAACCTTTGGTTCTCGTATCCGCATTGACTCCAATTGAATGGTCCATCAATATCTCCGCAGACCATGAAGGTCAAGAACTCCATTCGAGAAAGCCGGGAGGACCGGAGGCGGTCCTTTGGGATCGGCGGAGCTGGGAATATTCGTATGTCCTACCGTGTGCTTCCTCCGTGTCCTTGGAGGGCACCGAGATGTCCTCGTCCTGACTGATAGCCCTTGACTGATGACTCTCTCCCACTAGGCACCAAGGCCGAAGCAGTCGTCAACGACGTGCTCCCGTCTGAGCGCTCGGAGCAGCGGCGGCGGAGTAGCGTCCTGAGCAAGGTGTCGTCTTCCACGTCGGCATCGGGGAGCTGGAAGGACGTGAAGGAGCTTTTCCGGACCAAGTCTAACAAAAGCTGATATGGGTTGGCTTGTGTTCAGATGAGGCTATGACTGTGGAAGAGAGGCAATCGTGGTTTTGGCATTGTGTAACTCTCCGTGCATCTCGACGAGATGCCACTAAGCCTTGCCACTTGGTCGATGATATCACGGACGACGATCTACACCCGTCTTGTATTATTCTGTAATATACACCTTCCCAAGCTCGAGTATCACGCACTTCATGCCCGCACATTCTGACAGAGCATGCTCCACCAGCGCTGTCCAATCAGCCGTCCAGGCGCGCTCGTCTTTTAAGAGATCTCGACCTGTACGCGGACCGATCCCCTCTTGGGCTGAGGTACAATCAGGTCATGGTCGTACTCGATGTCCTCGACAGTCGTGTCGCGCAGGCGAGCCCGTGGCAGGACACGCAGAGCCAACGCCGCCGTGAGGAGATAGAGCTCGCAATAAGCGAGGCTGCAATTCAAGTGGCGGTTAGCTGGAGATTCCAGAAGACATTACTGGGGGACACCACTTACTCCTTGCCCAGACAGGCACGACTCCCCTTCCCAAAGGATATCAGGTGCTTCTCGAGCGCATAGTTCTGCCTCCCGTCCGCGAGCAGCCACCGCTCCGGGATGAACTCCTTCGGGTCCGGGAAGAGGCCCTCGTTGGTGTGCTGGATCATTGAAGTCATGCTCACGGGAGTGCCCCGCGGTATCACCCATTCAACCTTGCCGTCCTCACTCTTGTAGATCAGATCCTCGTCCCGCGCGATTCGGGAGGACCGGTGCGCTATTCCAGGCATCAACCGCAGGGACTCGTGGATCACGGCCCAGAGGTAGGGCCGCTGCTCGAGATCGGTCCACTTGAGGCTGACCGGGTCGGCGCTTTTCAGGGAGTCCTGGAGGCGGGCGAAGGTGGTGGGCTGCGATAGGAGGTAGAAGGTTATGCAAGCAAGGGATGCCTATAGAATAATGCTGTTAGTATTAGCACTCGAAGAAATAGAGATAGACTGACGGCAGTGGTCTCGGTCCCAGCTAGGAGGATGTTGAAACCCTCCCCAGAGAGGCGGTAGATTGTTTTCTCTTCATCAGGCATTTGATCATTGGCCATGAGGTCCGCGAAAATCCTGCCATTCTCTTTGTTGTCAATGGCTTTCTGAATGTGCCCGGGAATAACAACCTGCAATTGGTGCATCAGATTCTTCATGTCGTCGCCCATGTAGCTAGCAAAATACGGAGCGACAGCAACAGCAGCCCTCGCCGGCGCGACGTGGCGCATCATGTAGGCGCTGTTGAAGAAGCTCTTCACCCAGCCCCCAAAGTTGGGCGTCCATCCCTCCTGGTCCGTGAACCCCATTGGCTCCCCAAACGCATACTGAGAGATGATATCGGCCGTGTAGCAGTTGAAGGCTTCCTTGATGTCGAATACCCCACTGGTGCGGAGCAGCTTGTCGCATGTACGCTGGGTGAAGTCGTGAACCTCGCCCTCGAGCTTCAGCATCTGGCCCCGGGAGAAGAATCTGTTCATGGGGAGCCTCCGCGTCCGATGGAGCTCGTGCGCCGGTGTTGAGAACCCGCCGACGAGGATGGGCCCCGTGGCGCCCGTGTTCAAAAAGTGCTGCCACTTGTCTCTCTTCCTGTTGCCCGAGGCGTAGATCTCATCGACAAAACGGGGATCGTCACAGTGCAGCTCCTCGGGATTGATCCTCACTATAGGGCCTGGGCTTAATGCGTCAGCGACAGGCAAGTCTTTTGCTGGACAATCTTGGACTCAACACAGTACCATATTTCTCGTGCATCCGTCGGATCTCATGACCATACCGGCCAACGAGGATCCAGTCGTAATAGCCTTCGTAGAAGAATCCCATCGCAGCCAGTTTGGGGCCGGGAAAGCGATACAGAGGATGTAGAGGGGAGATGTTGTACATAGCGATTGCTACTCGATAAGCAAGCCAGATACCGAAAAGAACGGCCACGGTCCTTGCAGACAGTAGGGCGTTGAGCCCAAGCCCATTGAGGTCGAAAGACTTCACGGTCGCCATTCTGAGGACAAGGTTTCCAGGTTAATGTTGATGGCGACTGGAAGAAAAGAACCTCGACGACAAACAAACTCCCTTGTGTTGACGGAAGGTCAAAAAGGGTGTTTTCCTCTACATATATACCATGCGAGTGCACGCAGCATACGGAGCCTATCCGGCCCCGCCACGGTTCCAAGAGCTTTCGACCCACCCGTCACGGTCCGATCGTCTCGCCACGGCTCTTGTGCGGAGCATCGTAGTGCTGATAGGCCCTCAGTAAGCAGCGCACACATGATGGAAGGTGGTATTTATTCCATTTCGGGCAAGGGACTTTTAGTGGATGGGTCACTGCCAGGGGATGAGGAACCTGCCGAGGCATGCGTGTGCCTGTAAATGATCTTCCGTTAGCAAGCAAGCCATGGAATATACAACTCCACATTATTATGGGAACCACAAATTTTCGACTCTAGGCAGCACTATTCCGCATTATGAACTCGGCATACTCATAAGCGGAATTCTCCTTACGAGTGCGGCTTTTGAAACTGACTTGAAAACTTTTGGTTGACTTGCAAGTCATTTTCCTGGGTTCTGTTTCTTGGCCGCCAACAGCACAATCCCAAGCTGGTCAGGTTCTCAAGACGACTCGACTGACTACCTTTTTCAGGATTCTAAGATGACTGAAGCATCTCCTAGCATAGGCAACTCGTTGAAACTCACAAGTGTCAAATGCATTTCACTGTTTCGACAGACCTGGGCAATGCAGTCGAACAAGGGCTACCCAGGTTCAGCACCGAAAGCGATGTCGCGACAACGGTTCCTTAAATACTGGAGTGTGCCTACAGTGATATTGTAGCGATAGCTATTGTGGTCGAAGAATTTGCATTGGTCATCGATCAAAAGCGATTGCATGAGTGTGCTGCTGTGGTTGACCTAGTTTGCCGGTCGGTTGCTGACAGGTGATGATACTGATACTTGCTTCCCTTGAATTAAGCTACTCTTAGGGAAGGTGTACGACACCTTTATCACTCATTTAGCACCTTAAGGACATGCGACTCCAAATCAGGATGTCATGCCCTCAGTGCCAATGACCAAAATTGTTCCCGGTGATAGTCCGATTCACATTGGGAAATTGCAGTGAAATGAAATCATCAACATAAAGCCCAGCAGCTCGGAATATTATTCAGTCACCTCAGTCTGCCACGGCTCCTGAGACAACCAGTAAAGAAAAAAAGCAAAGGGGGCCATGTATGAACGGGGCAGGCGTGGCTCGACTTGCTTCGCTGTGGTGTAGCCTTGGCAATTCCACAGACGGTGATGGGACTGGCCATGTATCTGTCTCGAAAAGACCCAAAGGTAAGGTTCGACAAAGGGAAGGTAAACTATCCCATCTTTACTGCTCCTCGCCGTCGGCTAGTAGCGCGGTTCCATGCTAGGTCCCAAACTTGCTGCCGTGGGGACTGTCGACATGCTACTGACGGCAGGTTCACAATAATGACAATTAAACCATTCGAGGGATGAACAGAAAGATATCATGGATTTTGCATGTCCAGCCCCATGTGAGAGCTCCAGAAGAACCGAGCGCAGGTCAGCATTTAGGCAACTGTAGTTCCTTCGGTCATTGGTTAACTATGCTGACTTAAAGCTCTCTGACAAGAGGGGCTGAACATTATTTGACCTCTGGGAGTCTTGAATAGGTAATTAGATACCGCCATGGAATACGACACGTATCAAGGCAAGATCTTCACAAGCCTAAGGGTTCGGTTCCTCGAACGCGGCACAGAAGCTCTTTGTCACAATCAAAGAAATCTCAGCCTCGACCGAGTCTAGTTTGTCTCCCAGAGGATTAGCGTGTACGATAACACGGACGATTTGAGAAAGATAACAGCGATCTCGTTTCTTTCACAGTCTGGATGTAGTAAATACCTAGCATGTGCAAAGCCATGAACAGCTGTCCTATGCTCGACACAATTGCCCCGCGCGCGGAAAGTGCCCAGGTGTTTAGTCGGTTGATGGGTTATATCAGCGTTAACTGTCAAAGGACGTCAAGCATGTGATTACCCGAACATGGTGTGGCGTGAGCGTTAATTTGTCTAAGTGGCATGTAACGGCAACTTGAAGACCAGTATGAGCACTGAACATAAAATACGCGGTTTACCTGACTGCTTCTTCTTTGTGCTCCTGTTGACTTCATTCCACATGCCTTAATCTTAGAAAGTTTAGAGATTCATATTAAACTGTCATTATCATTTGCCACAATGGCCTTCCAGACTCCACCCAACCCGCGATATGTCGATTCTCGCCAACGGCTCTCTGAACTGGCCAGAGTCATTGGTGACGACAAGAGTCGCAACTCAGAGCAGCTCCCTGGTCTCGCGAAGCTCTTAAACGAGTACGCAAGTGATGACATCAAGACGCCGCCCAAGGAGGACTTGATACGTCGCCTGATACGGGTGTTCAAAGACTCCACAACCGAAGCGTCTTATTCTCAAGTATTGAAGAATTACAACAATGAGGAGCAGCAACTTATAAACCGTTTCGTGGTTGACCAAGAGCCAGCTGCCAAAGTTGGCAAAGACTTTCATATTGGACTTTCACCAGGTGCAAGGAAAGAGTTTGAGGATCTTGATTCCCAGCCAGATGGCTTCATCGGCGGAGGACAACTGTCCGCCAAACATCACTCAGGTGCAGGTGAACTTGTCCACCATATTGTCGACGAATTCAAGTCTGCAGCCAACACCGTGCACTCCTGGGTCCATCCTCACACCAACTTCTCTGTGTATGATGATCCCGGCAACAAGCACAAGGTCCCAGCGTATTTCGACAAGGAGTTTCAGAACTGGGGTCGCACCGTAAAGAACGTTCCGAAAATCACCTGTGTTCCCACCACTTCGTACGGAATCCAACAGATTGTGCAGTACGCAAAGACTTTTGACATGAATGTTCGGGCGTCCGGATACCGACACTCCTGGTCACCAATCTTTGGCAAAAACGGACAGATTTTGATCTCCACATTGGACCTCCACAAAGCTGCTGTGCTCCCGAACTTCGAATCCCTGCCAGATTCAGAAATCGGCGAGTGTCCAACAGAACTCAACGCGATCACATTTCAGAACACTCCTGAAGCTGGGAAGAGCCGTTTGGTTCGCGTCGGAACAGCCGTAACAAACCAACAGTTGAGGCGCTGGTGCAATAGTCAGGAGGGAAACTTGGCGTCCACACTGCCGTTCAATGCCATCATCGTTGAGATCACACTTGGCGGATCTAACGCCCCGATCTGCCACGGTGCAGGCCGAAGCCATACAACATTAAGTGACCTCGTTCATGCAATTGAATACGTCGATGTCAATGGCACCATCCAGAAGCTCAGCAAGGACACAGATCCCGACCTCATGAAGGCCGCCAGTGGCTGCTTTGGTCTTCTCGGAATCATTACCCACATCACCTTGGAGATGATGCCCATGACCTATGCAGTCATGAGGCCACAGAAGCTTCACATAACTGAGGCTATCCCACTCCCGCCAGGAATGACGAATGAAGATCTACCGCATGTTCTCCGGCCAGAGACACCCATGACGGAGGAGCAGCGCGCCAAAGCCCAGGCCGCATTTGAAGACAAGGCCCGCAACAACTTTTACGCGGAATGGTTCTGGTTCCCCTACACTTCCAAGGTCTGGGTCAACTGCTGGAACACAACGGATGACCAAGAAGGCGAGATCGAGTATCCAGGCGATACGCAGGTGGTCATCCAGTGGTTCCAGACTGTCGCTGCACAGGTCTTGCAAGTATCTGATGCGATCGCGGATTTACAACACACATTCGCATGGACACAGACTACCTTGATGTCTACATTGGCACTTTACGCAATGCCTGAGGTCACAGACGACCAGCCAGCCATCAAGACTCAGCTCCCCAACGCTCTGCACTTCCGTCGAGCAGTTCAGAATGTCCGCGTGCTGGACACCGAGATGCAGATACCCCTGCTTCCGAAGTCAGGAGTTCCTCTCTCTGAGGCAAAGTTCGAAGACGAGATCGACTTCAGCAACGTGCAACGCGCTTGGTGGGCCGCTATTCTCACGGCCTATAAATACCATGACACCTGCCCCCAGCGAATGCCACTCGAGATGCGGATCACTGGCCCGTCACAAGTGATCATGGCGCCGTTCCGAGGCCACAACCTCGGAAGCGCCTCGATCGAGATCCTGACGCTGGAGAACATGCGGGGCAAGGAGTGGCTGGACTACGCCCAGGAGGTCCTCGACCACTGGATGGACCTCAAGGACTCGCGGGGGGAATATCTCCCCACGCGGCCGCACTGGGCTAAGGAGTGGTACAACTTTAAGGTCCGGGGCCAGCCGATGATAGACTATGTGCGGAAGTCCTATGCGCATGAGATAAAGGAATTTGTCTTCCGCCTGGGGCAGATCGCGAAGAAGCAGGGGTGGAGCATGGAAGAGGCGAAAAGGCGGTTCGGGAACGGTGCGTTGGATGCCGTGTTTTACACGCAGCCTGTTGCGTCGCTCAACAGCGGGGTGAGGTCGGCGGCGGACAAGCAAGAACGATCCTTCATCACGACGACACCGGTCATTACCATCAATTGATACAGAAGGTGTTTGAGGCGCAAGTGGTTTTCTGCAGCTGAGGCTTGTATGGGATGGTCACAAGCAGAATGAAGAATGTCGACCTGCGATCTTGAAAAGACGTGCACAAACCAGTCGAATATGAATAAATAAGTGGTATCTCGATACAAGAATATCAACTACACGTTCAACTTCGCCTCCACCATGCATACTGTAACTGAATATAGACCGTGAAACCCGCCACCAAATACGCTCCCAAACTAAATGCTGAAGAATGGTCGCCTGTCCACTTTATGTATACGACGACAAATATTCCCGTAGCCAGAATCACAATCCACGACCACCAAAGGATCAAGACGTCGTTTAGCCTCTCATTAACACGAATACCAAAACCCACAATGTCTGGTATACAATCGTTTGGTAATGGGGTATTGAAGAGACGGCCATCGAGTTTCTTAGCCGCAGCGTTAAACCATTGGTATCCAAGATGAGGTCCTGGGTACCTAAGATCGTGCCACAATGGGATGTTCATGGTAGTACGTCTCATGGGAACAGGCTTATAACAGTAAGGCCATGGATTCGCCGAGGAAGGCCATTGACCACATTCGAACTGGTCAGGAACGGGTTCCTGTGTGGCCGTCTGAGAGACTACTTGGAACTGCAGATGCTAGAAGTCAAAAGATGCCTCATATTATGGAGACTTTCTGTTTCAAAACGAGCTTACCTTGACAAAGTCGGCAGTGCTAGGCAAATATAAAGGAGCCCATAGACCGCCGTCTGGCGCCCATCTGAACCACCACTCCCATAGGGACGAGTTACGTATGAAGGACAGTATCTGACTTTCTCGTAGGGACTTGGCGAACAAGGACTGCCCAAGACACGCTGGTAGTGATGGCAGCAATAATGAGACTGACCAATGGCGCCCCTGGCGAGCTTGCTCGTATTCCCTTAGCAAGCCTCCCAGAAGCATACCGTCATTCCAATTCTCAGTGATTTCGAGATGCCGAACTTTTGGCAAGGTCTCGTACTCTCTCCCGCTGATACAGACTAGTAAGTGCATTATCTGTGGTTCGGCTGAACTTGGCCCTATGGTAGGTACGGCGACACCGGTGGGCAGACTTCGGAGGCTCGGTGATGTTGTTCGAGACGGTGTCATTTGGGCACCTCGGGAGGAACTCAAACCCGAGTAAACTGGTGATGGCGTCGCGAGATTCGACTGCCGGGGGTTGGATTCACCATGCTGTGGCAATGTTGGGCGTTCTCTGACCGCTGCCGCACTGTTGTAAATGCTTTGCCGTACGCTTTCTAGACCACCGCCGGGCTCCAGTTCTTCCACATCAATGTACGTGTGTCGACCACATCCCTATTAAAGAAAGAAAAGAAATATCATAAGTATCTGACGTTACTCGTGGAGGAGGCCATAAAACTGAGCACTCACACATAAATACCATATCCTTTGCGAGCAATCTCGAGGCGGCCAAAGTCTGTCAGTTATCCATATTTTGACCTTCGTCGATATTGGAGTTGTGGCTGCAAACAAGCCACTGCCGGCATCTTGCGAGGTAGATGAAGAAGGTTCCTGAAAGCTTTCAGAGGTAGGATGTGTAATGGAATCTGGCCCTTTTCGGACGGGAGAGGTTTGAGCAAATACCCCCTCGTCTTGATTTTCGTAGCCATCGTTCACAGGAACTTCGTCCCTCAAGGCTTCCTTTTCCGAAAATCCTAGTTCTGACTCTACAATCCCGTCTGTGTTTCCGTGGAAAAATGACAATTGAGGATCCGGGGTGGTGGCACTACGAGCTAGAGGTCCAGAAGTTTCCTGCTTCTTCCGGTGACTCGGGCGAATGAAGTCATGGAATCGCTGCTTGTATGATGCAAATGCCTGGCTTGTAACCAAGAAGTCTCCTGTCGCTTGAAGAAGACTAGCACCCGGGGATGGTTCGAGAAGACCCAAACCGGTCTCTGAGTCATCGTCACTCGAGCCTTCCTGTTCGTCCCCCATGGTTTGGTCTGTTGCCTGACGGTCGACTAAGGTGTCGAGATATTGGTCGAGTCTCGAAAGGTCTTCTTCTTCCTGTACAAGGGGTACTGATGTCCCATCATCGGGGATCATTGTCTGGAAAATATCTGAAGAAATAGCTTTTCTCCTTCTTCGAGACTTGAGGAATGAGGCAGCCTCCGCTTGCGGCGCCGTCTGTACTTCACGAGCGATTTCCAGATAGAACAGTTTCAGAAGACGCCGATTGTTGTCCACAAATCGAGACTGTGTCAGCTTTTGACTGGCTTCCGTGTATAGAGTGAGAAGTTCTGTGTCGCACTGAGTAAATTTTGCCACGATATAGTTCACACCAACTTGTCCAAGAGAGTGACTGTTCGAAGCTGTTGAGCTGATCGAATCAGGTATACTCGCAATTGAATCGATATCATCGCTAACCTCATTTGACCATGAACTGGGTTGGCAAATGCCATTGATATCCGGAGTGTCAAAGCACTGGTCATCTCGATCCAGTGAAGAACCGCGAGGCCATGTGCTGGGAGCTGTGGATTGCTTGGATTGCGTCCCCGAAAAGCTTTGAAGATATGAGACGGGATTTTCGTGTTGCAAACCAGAAGGAGATGAACCCTGAAAGCTTTCTGAGGTATCATTTGAATGCGAGGTTGGTCCTTTTCCACCTGAGGGTGCTTCAGCAGATATCGCCTTATTCCGGCTTTTATGGCTGAGGCTATCTTCCGCAACAGCTTCCTCCTTCGAGGATTTGTCTTTAGGAATGGCAAGTCCCAGTTCTCCAATTTCGCTCATCTTTTCACTGGCGACCGTGACATCATCATCTGTGAGAGCGGCAAGAAAAGTGTTGTACATATCGCCGTGGATGTGCTGTGTGTCAACAATATCCCTGGGGCAAGGCATATCAGTATTTGAACCGTTCAATCGGAATTCAGAAGGACGGAGAACTGACCACTCTTCCTCCTTTCCAAAGTCATCCAGATATTCCAAGTGTTGCCTTCCTTTTTCATCGTCTCCAAATCGAATGAACTGGAACATCACATGTGTTCTGTTCAGGCCGCGGTTCTTCATCTCCTGCATCAGTTTGCTGATAGGCACAGTCGGTCCATTACCGTCTTGAAGTCCGTCACCCCATTTGCCGTCGGTGAACACGAAGATGGTGATAGGCTTGTACCAGGCCGGAACTTGCCCAGTTAAGGGAATAGAGACCGGGAGGCGCTCCACGATCTTCTCGTTGATCAAAGTGCTCAGGCTGCTTTCGATGCTCCCTTTGACAGACACATGGTTTCTCAGGTGGAGTTTGACTTCTTCGAGAAGCACGGTCGTCTTCCTACTCTTGATGACATCAAGTGGCTTCGAAGCGAAGCTTAACTCCACATCATCAGGGTCCATGGTCTTCGCGATGTAAGCAAGGGTCTGAAACGCCACCTCAATCTGAACCGAGTGTTCCCTCATAGACTCTGTGTCGTCGATGAAAATGAGGAGGTCGCGCCGTCCCAAACTCTCGATCAATTCCTCGATCATCTTCTTCTGTGTCGAACTGACATGGCCCTCCAATTTCATCGCTTTCCGCCAATCGGCTGCGTCTTGCATTGAGAGGATGGAACCTGCTTCTAATGTGTTTCGTAGAGGATCCTCAGAGACCTGAGGAATATGCTTCGCCGAAGTTGGCGGGAGCGCAAGCTCCGCTTTTGCGTCTTGAATTTCCTTCTCGAACTTGCTGTAGAGAAGATTGGCTTGTAAACGATCTTTGTGGGAGACCAGCATGTGATTCTCGATTATATCCAACACACGAGGCGTCATCCTGTCGTGAGAAGGAACAATGCGTCGAATGTCGCGATGCATCTCATCGACGGAAGCGAGCCGCTCAAAACCGTCGTGAAAGGCATTCTCATAACCACTGTTGGCAAAACCCTTGATGCTTTCCAGCTCCTCCCGGCGACGATGAAAATATCTTTTCCTTCCATCCTCGCCTTCTGCAACCCATGATGCAGCATCACTGAAGAGAGCTCCTGCTGAAAAGATGTCGGCGTCCCATTTAATGCCACGAGGGCCAATCCGTCTGATGCCCGAATGATGGATGGACTCGGGAGCACAGTATATTTGGTTGCCTCTACGGTAGACTGCAGGGATATCGGATGTGTCGGCTCCGATATCCCTAATGCTGCTGTGCCCGAGATCGGCAATAATGGGGGAGAACTGATACGGTCGCGACCGAGAACGTATATCGAGTAGGATGTTGTCCGGTTTGATGTCCTGATGCACTAGCTGGTATTGATGTGCAGACTCCCCTGAAGGGATCACCTGATGGATACGATGCAGACCAAGAGTCAACTTCGAGAGGCTCTCCCAGAAGTCTAAGATGTCTTCGGAAGTCCGTGGTGGACGTCTCTTTTGCAAGTACTGGAGCAGGTCACCTCCCGCGACCCATTCCATGACGAGGTTGTAGGTTTCTCCGTGTTGGAAGGTAGCGTAGCATTTGACGACATGCTCGAGGGAGGTTGGGTTCTGGAGTAATCGTGCAAATGCCTGCACTTCGTGCCGATAGTGTTGTTTGTGTTGTTGGCCGTGATATGTTTTGAGGATGTAGGACGGGTGTGCCGTGGACGTGCCGTCGCTCTTTGGAGGAAACTGAAGTCAGAAACTGCACATGAATGTATAACACTTCCAGGGGTTGGTTCCGTCCCCAACTTACCTTGAGTAGACTGTTACATGACGGATGGAATTGGATCTTTGTGATGGCGGCTCTGTCACTATGCAACTGCTCTCTAATCGTAGCTTGAGCGCAAATCGGGAGGATTCGTTCGGGTGGCAGCCATGTATCGTCAAGGCTGTATCGGTCGAGTATCACAGGGAAGAATGTCCACTGGTGACTTTTGAAGTCGTCGAACATGGCCTGGTAAGAGGGCAACTGTTCCCAAGGCCCGGGGAGAGTTGTGGCCGGAAGTCTTTGGTCCCAAAGCTCATTTTTCTGGAAGGCTGGAATATAAGACAAGTTCCCTGTGTAGACCAAGGTTGAGAATACGCGGATGTACTGTTCTCTGATCAGGTCGAGGCTGGTGACTATGCCCTCGGCATAGCTCTCGCATACATCCTGGATCCTTGCATCTGTCCAATATGTAAGGAGTTCGGTGTGTGGTATGTAATGTTGCTCCATGCCGCTTCCATCTCTTCCTCTGTATTCGTTTTTCTTCCGCTGAACAAATTCGACAAATTCATCGGTAGGAGCCGAGTTCGGGTTCAGGGGATGCTCTTGGACGAACGGAGGTGTCTCGTCCATGAGATCCTGAGTCTGGTCTTCGGTAGGGGTCAAATTCAGGAAATCCGCTTGGATGGACGGAGGTGTCTCGGCCGTGGGATTGAGAGTCTGGTCTTCGATCGGGGTATCGCTCTGGGCCATCACCAATATTGACGCGACCAACAGGATAGATTTACCCTTAGCCGTTGCCTGTGTATGTGTGGTACGGTGTTGATGCCCGAGCCTTTCTTGAAAAACAGAGCAATCGAAGACAGTGGGCTAGCTTTTGTGCTGCGTGCGCGGGGGAACTCTCCGACTTGCAGTACGCATCTGGGTGTGTTCGTATGCGGGCACCCAAAGCGGGGCGGTCTGGACATTATATACTGGGGTGGGGAGACTTTGGAGACTTTTGTGACAGGTTGACGGCGGGCGCATGCCTCGAGGGGTTCGGCACAAGTCTTCGAGATTGGGTTGCTACAGAAAGACCACGGTAAGTAACGATTGAGATCTGGCTTTGGCTGACGGTCGCATTTACAGTTGGTAGACTTCCTATGTTGACGAGGAATATCCCCACCGCATTGTATCTTGCTTCGAGTCAGAGCTGGACCCTGTCTGGTTCGCGAGCCGCAAGGCAATTCCACATACGTTGGTCAGGAGCGATGGCCGGCTTACGGAGGGCCATAAGGCAACACGCACTAGGACAAAACAAGAAGGGACTGGCATGGTGGTACCGCCTTTGCATATTGCAGGGGTAAGAGTGATGTTCCAGGTGTTAAAACCGATCTGCAGGATTTCGAGCTATTCTGAAAAATGGCTTCTTGATACTGACTGGCGATGAAGGCATCAGGCATCCCAACAGAAATACACGAGGTGACTTAGAGCAGTCCTGGACCACTCTGATGCAGAGTTTTTAACCAGTCGGCAAGGGTCAATGTGTGCTGGATGAACCGCTTCTTAATGTTTAGAAACATAAAAGTGATAATTAGCAGGAGATGGATATTGAGCTGTACACAACCCCGAGTCTTGTGCCAGCCTTTGACTTGTATATCATGACTTGACCATGTGTTGTTTGAGTGTCTTACGAATAAGGAAATGTGTAGCATGATTTATAACAATATATGTCTGATGATGTCTGATGAATAAGACCCGACACAAGCCTCTACACCATGCGATGTGCACCAATACCTGCCTCCAGTGCCATCTCGACATTCGAAGACCTAGCGTAATTTTCCGAAAGTCTGCCCCTGGCCCGGTAATAAAAATACGCCCAGCAGGCTAAGGTGATCAGCATGATGGGACACGCGACCAGGAAAAAGAGTTCAAGTCCAACCCAGCTTGTTCTCCATTCCCCGAACTTAAGAGCTTCGTCGAACCTAAGAATGCCGCTACTGAAAAAAGTCTGCGAATGAATTCTGGATTAGTGCGAGTCACGTCGCGAGAGATTATGGACACGTGACTTACAGCTACAAATGTGCCGGGAAGAAAGACGAGTGTCCATATTGTGATGATATGCATCGAAACAGCTTCTCTTCTGGCCTTGATTGTCATGACATGCATGCTGTCTGTGGAGACTTTGGCCTGCATTGCTAGCTCTTGGCCCAACTCCCCCAACCGCGTGTTCCTGTATTCAAGAATTGCATTGAACTGCGCCTTGTTAATTTCTGGTGTATGAATAGCGCCAGGAAGATGGTGGAGTACTCACAAACACTATATTCTTCTCTAGATCGTGGAGTGTAGCTTGTAATCGCGCTTGGTGGCCGTCCATCTCCCGTGTGATCTTGTCAATTCCGCGGAAAAAGCCAGCGACGTCCTCGAGACAGTCCTGTAGGTTTACAAAGGATAAGAAATCCTTGGACTCGATGATATCTTGGAAATACTGCTTCAATTCTTCGAGGACCTTCTTGTTTTGGGCAAGGATATTGATCGCTTCTTGGAGTCTGCCTCCGAGGTAATGAAGCGATTGAAGCTGGTCGAAGGAGAATATCTCATCGAGGACCAAATCTTGGATCCGATCATTGGTGCTGATTGGATTTGTAGGCATCGACGCGGTAGGCTGGTTTAGCTCGCTGTCCACTCCGGAACTGGATCTGAACATCCCCAATACTCGTCTAGATCTTGAGGTAGGCTTTTGAGATGACATTAGATCAGAAAGTCCGGTTGCTTGCCTCCCTGAAAACAGTGACGCCCAAATTTGATTCTCCGTACGGGTCTTCTGAATGTTTTCGTCCTTAGACAGCTCCATGACCGGTGTGTATCTCGCAACAGTCCTAGGCCGACTCAGCAGAGCCTCGAGATGATCGATGTATGAATCCCAATTCTCGGCAGACCATTGAAAGATGAGCATGTGAGATCTAAGGTTCGCCAAGAAACAACCCTGAACTGTTTGAGAATATTCGGGGTGTCTTTTGCGATAAGCAGTTGTTGAGGTTTGGAGGCGGTTCCTCATCAGTTTGTTTCCTTTCAGGACGATCCAAGCCGATCGACGGCAAACAACATCGAAAGAATGGTATGCTGCTGTCTGGCGTATAAACCATGGATCCTCTCGTTTCTCATCTTTCTCTACGCCAATGACGTTAAAGCAGTGCTGAATGCGGAAGCCAGACATGTTCAAGGATGGCAGGCTCAGCCTTGACTGGGACTTCCCCAGGCATGGCTCATAGTAGAACCTAGTCTGCGTGTGAGGGTCTTCTCGAGCCCTGAAGGTGAACAGAATGTTCAGAAAGGAAGGCATGACTTGATTGTGGCTCAATAATAGGAGCATTTGCTCTTTCTCGCATGCAAGCGGATCCCTAGAAGATACCGATTGCACGAAACTAGTGTTCGATGTGAGAAGAAGGTCAAAGCTTGAAACAGGTTGGACACCTCACATGTATCTCTCGATTGGGCAGCTGGCACCCAAAGCCATGACTTGCTGGACATCTGCTTTTGTTCTCAAAGTTGGCGTGAGATTGTAGTCTGACAACATCAATATCAGTTTATGCACCCTGGGCAATGACCTCTAGTGTGAAGCATGATTTACCTTGGCCCTCTGGTTCTAGAGTCCACATGTGCAGTATTCTCATCCTGGGACTCGGATGGAAAATTTTCACCTTGGAATCATTCAGCATAGCGCAATAGGAGGCGAGTTCGTGTTCAAACTCTGAGGCATACACAAGATTGGTTGGATAATCGGCCCACTTGTCGCAAGACTGTGAGAACAGTGACATGCCATGTTCTGTCTCTGGGAGAGCCATGGCTGTTGCAAGCGGTAATCCAGTTCTGCTGACGCTGGCAAGTTGCAATGACAACTGCAATTTGCTAGACCTCGGATTGCAGTCTTAGACAAGAGTATGAGTATCGAAATTGGCGTCTTCTTCTTGAAGGGCTGCGCAATATGCCGTCGATATGCTCTTTTTTTTTTTGGGGGGGGGGGGGCAGTTCTGATCAACGGCGCGTGCGTTGCAAGCCTGGGGACGCGCATGTGTTCTTAAATGTGGAAAAAGTCCCCCCGCTGACAGCCCGTCGGGGTTGACGTGGCACCTGCATGCCGGCGGGTGGCACAAAGTAGGCCTTGAACCGAGTGGCCAAGAAAAGGAGCTATTCGGCGACGCACGAATTCATGCGCTGCCATTACTATGGCTGTAACCATGCCAGCAAAGCGAAGCAGTAATATGATTTCATTTCGGCAACCATTGATGGTCCGAGTCGAATACATGAACATGGTACATTCTCAAATCTCCATCAGGCCTCCATGTTCGTCTTCGACTCCGATTCCCAGATACCGAGTTCTGGTGCTCGACGGGTCATTCGGCCCATGGGGGGACCCGCAATCTTCCAAAATACTTCAATACTGGCCACTCTTCACTTTCCTTGAATTCAAGAAATCTACATTCCTCAGCAGGCTCGCGAAGATTGACTAGGATATGATCTCACTCAACCCATTCCAAGTCAGCGTCCGCAGATGCAAATACAGCCAGCTGGATTGATAGCTCTGAGCCTTCGTAAACTCCGTAGGGTTCTTCAGCGTGGATACAGTTCGTTGGGCGGGCTGGTGAGCAATCAATCAGTCACTGTTGTTTAGAAAGGGGGGGGGGGGGAGTGACTTGATGACTCCAAGAAGCCGATAACAAGCCTTGAATTCGTTGATCCTCACTTCTACAGTAATGTAGTTGCTATGGGTGGGGAAAACACTGCTACTCGAGCAGGGTGTCTATCTGTAGATGGTAGGCGGAGATGCAATCCACCGTCATTGACGCCATAATCGGTTTCTCCTTTCTTTTCCCAAAATAAACGAATTTCCGGGATCTCCCCAAATTCGTAATTATCGCGTCCAGAGGTTTGCTTACGCATTCCTCCTCGATGAAAGGGGCAGACGGCAAGGCAGATTTACCTATCCCCGAGCGCCGGTAGCCTGCATGAGAGCTGCATCTGATGCTTACACCTCTAGCAGTGTCAGCAAGGTGAGACCAGGGAGAGTGGCCCCACGAGTGCCGTCGCAATTGGCTGCGTCTTCTCCTGTGAAATCACAACGGCGGCTGAAATTCGAGCAAAAGAGGGGTCAACTTAAGCCTCATTGTGAGTAAACGCAGCCATCACAGGCTGGTCAGGCCAAGCCGTGCAAGCATGGGAATGCAGACTGAGGTCTGGACCAGGGGTTGTGTGGCCTCCAGGCGCACAGGATTGCCGCCCAGCTGATGAGGACTCCAGTACTTGACAGGGGAAGTGAGAGTGCCACACAGGGCGCTGTCAAAGTCTTACCAGAACAGATCCTGGCCCCCAACATCTTATTTTTCGCGCCCTGATGATCAATTTACGCTTGAGCCTTGAGACCTCCTGTGGTCGTCGTCTTCATACTCGTCTCTATGCAAATGCGTTGTATCCATGTCACGTCTGTATAGCCCAGAAGCGCAAAGAGACTTGTTGAGGTACATGAACCTGGTAGAGACGGCCATGGTAAGAATGGATGCACCCACGCCCATGAGCATGGTCTTGGCCGTTGTATGATGGCTTGCTGGATTCAACAGTAGACATGTTCCGTGTAATGAGTGCTCGGACCTTGTGGATGTCTCGTTTGAGAATGTACTTTTTTCGGGACTTGTCAGCCATCCGATGCTCCTTTTCAGTGTGCCTCTACAAAACAAAGCTCTCCCAACCATGCTAACCGGGCAACGGTAATTATCCCGCGAGATAATGAAGCACTGCCTAGAGATTGACAGAGGGTGAGCCAGCAAGGGCCATTACTGACCACACTTATCATGCCCGATGGCTCCGTCAAATGATGATGTGCAGTCTTATTTGTGTCGAACTAGAAGCTCCTGATCCCTTGCCAAGCCCTACAATATCAATAAAGAATGAATACAGCTATAAAGCTGTGAAGTGAAGATTTCAATGCAACCGTCGCGTCTCAGTCTCAGCCTGGATCATCCAAACGCCTCTCCTACCCATCTGTACACCTCACAAGCACTTAGTTGTTATTGCACGCGAGGTAGCCCTGGGTCGCGGCAAGAGAGCTAAAAACACAAGAAAGTCAGTGTCTCAGATCTAGAAGGGTGTAACTTTTACGTGTTGTGATCAGACATACCAGGCATTGGTGCAGTCGGTGGCGGATGTATCACCGCAAGCTTCGAGACAGTCTACCTGAGTGGCGGCGACATCCCTGTAGCAACCGAACAGGCTGCGACTCTCAAGCTGGATTGGACTCGCAACGGCAGCAGCGGCAAGGGCCAAGAAGACAGAAAGCTTGAGGAGCTGCATTGTGAAGAGTTCTTTGAATTATTCCTAGTGGATGTTTGTGATCGTAGTATGCTGATGCTGGTCTGAAGAGACGAGGGTGTAGATGGTGATGGATATGATGATGATCTCGTCAAAAACCAGCAGACGTTGGCTCGAGTCTTATACTCAATTTTACGTCTAGGATAATTCATTTTATCGCTCACTAGGATCATGGCAAGGCTGGAATCACAGCTACAGATGCGAGGCGAGTCGTTTCAGCCTCGCCTCTTCCGGCTCGCCACAAAGTCAGCCATTGGAGTCTGTCAGCCAAAATGTCAGCACGCTGGTCAGCATCCTTGGCAACACGAACGCGAGACCGGAATTTTGCCGCTTGTGAACCACGATCTCTGTACATCTGGAAACGTGATCATTTACATGACTTCAGCGAAAAAGGTTGCCGATCTCACTCTCGCCCCTTTGCCATCCTGAACGGTGCTTAATATCACTTATCACGTACGAGGGCGCATGACACACACGAAAATGACAATGAAATCTTCATCTTCTTCCCATAGCTTACTTATTGCACCCTGACGCCAAACATTGAATCAGTCAAACCATGGAGACTCAATGCAGCCCAGATTCAGAGGCAGCATTTGTGCCTGCCTGTCAGGGATCTTCGTCAGAAGAGGAGGGATCTGCTTGGAAAAGATATCCAGCACTAATCCGCCTTGGAATTAATAACAATGCGCTTCCACCGCTTAGCAATATGCATCAAATAGTGAAAGGGCGGCGTTGATAGCGCATGGTCATCCAGGATGGTTATGTGTAGAGGCTATAGTATCCTAGGGTTAGGGGCTTCAACAATCCCCCGCAGCTCAAACTTCGCCCCTTGAAACCTGAAGCTTACCTATTCACAGCAGCCACCACACATCCAGTTCTACCTTCATGTGGATGAATCTGACCAAGGCAAGGTTGCAAAGCAGAAACCCACAACAAATCCATACCATGTATTGAAACTTTGGAGATGCTGACACCCACGATCCTCAATGTTGTCCTTCCATTCTACGCGGTCGGCCACACTCCTGCCGTAACCTTAACGCGAAACGTGCCTCAGGGTGTCGACGCCGACATTCTGCTACTTGGATCGGGAGATATCCGACACATATTATATACAGCGTACCATGAGAAGGGCCTGCGTGAGTGTTGTGATCCTGCTGGTCACGGATGACACCGGCTCACGATTCCACAGCGACCAGAAAACTCGATATCACCTCGTGTGATCTAGAGGATGCAATAATTGGTACGTTAACACCGAACTTGCTTCTCGTGCCGACTCTGACTGTTTGAAGCTCGGAAAGTCCTCTTCCTCACGTTTCTGGTCACTCGGGGCATGGAAGCAGAGCCGCAGCTCTTCTGGAACGTGTATTATCACCTTTTCCTGGATGAGGAGTCAGCTCAAGTTCTCCAGTCGCACCTTGTTCGCCTGGTGGCCGCTTCGAGTTCGCCCAAGGACTGGAGGGAAAGCGAATTCGGTGGGAATTTCCGCTTTGGCACTGTCTCCACTCTTTCCTCTGTTCGCCGTATTTGGCACGCTTACCTCGAATCTCTGCGGAGGACGGACCATGATCAGTACCGAGCGGAT